CAATATCTTCTATTTGGTCGGTTTTTTTCAACCTGGTTTGTGGCTAACATCACGCCCAGAAAAAACAAAAAAACTGAGGTTTTTTGCGTTTTTTTCAGAAGAAGTCCAAAAAAGGGTCCGTCGCAGATGGTCCTCCTCCGGGGGAGGACCTCTGTGCGGATTTGATTTTTTCTAGTATCTTCTATTTGACCTGGAAATGTGAAAACACTGCAAGTACCAGTGTTTCAGTGCCCTGGTATGTCAGAAGGTCTGTGGGTTAAAACCTAAAAAAGGACACTAAATAATCCTCGAGACCGGCTCTTGGAGGACCCTTTGCAACAAGGAGTATCTTTTATTTGTTTTGTTGATTTTACACCCCCAATTTTGCATCTTCTATGTTTCTTTACTATTTAATATCTTCTATTTTGGCGGTATGTACTATATATATATATATACATACCCCAATCAGCCTTGCAGACAAAATTGCAGGCCTGCTCGACCACATACTGCATGCGTTGGTGCCAGGCTTTGTCCTGCATTTGCCTCAGATTGCAAGACATGATGCAAGGTGATGAAACGCAATGAAACAATGAAACGGCAGGCTAGGTGCCGCTAGTTCAATGCGGGCTTCCATGCAGACGAAAACACCAAACCATAAACAGCAATCAGGTCTCACCGGACGCTGATGACAGCGAAGATACAGAGAGTGATGGCGGATCGCTAGGCGCATTGTAGGATACTTGCAGTTACTCCTTTGAATTTTCTTTCATGCGTAGCTACCTAACATCATGCAGATCTCGAAGATAGCCATGGCAAAAATGCGTTTGCTCGGCTCTGAGAATGCCACTACATTCCAATGTTCAAACCATAGTTTTTGAATTAAACAAGTCGCCACTGGATTTTGCGATTTTTGTTCCGTGGCGAAGATTTTGCTGCTGAGGAGCAAAATGAGACTGCGACAGGCAGAAAGTCCCAGCATTTTGGAGTTTAGTTTCGGAAAGTTCTACTATGGGCATACATTTCTTGGAGTTTCAACATGCTTTCATTTTATCAGCGGTTTCGACCCAACTCAAAAGCTTGCCTTCATTTGTGTCTGGTGGAAAAAATGCACCAATTTATTTGTTCATGGCGATCCTTAGCAGTATACATACCGCAGTGTACCGGATGAACTGCATGATGTCTGGGAGTGTAACATTAAAAAAATCTCAAAATGTAGGCAGCACTTCACCTGACAAAGTGGAGGCCCTGGTTGCATTTGACTTCAAACGTGAAAGTGCCTGGAAAAAACATCTCTAGAGGCAAAGAGAGTTTTTGAATGAAGAAGAGCAAATAGAAACACTGGCACGATAGTTGCCAGTCGTGCAGACATATGGAGTATACTGTTGTTGAAGGTGCTTGCTTGCTTGCTTGCTTGCTAACTTTTCAGTACAGTACGTTTCAGCTTGCTCGGTTGCTTGCTTTGCTGATTTTGCTTTTGTTTGCTTGTCAGGGTGACTATGTCAACGGCCAACCGAGTGGTCCAACATTTTCAAGAGGCGATCGAATGTTTTCTGCGGTTTGTTGGAGTTCAAGTTGTGAGACACAATTGTAGGTGAGTGGCTGCTGTTAAGTGGCCTTGCTGGGAAGGTCAATGAATCGAAGGCAACGTTTTGGCTTCCATGTAGAGTTGTGACCAAAGTGTCCTGATTAAGATATGCACAGAGAGGTGGAACAACGTCCTCAAGAAAACTTTGCCCGTCATAGGCTTCATTTTCCGAAGACGTCCATGCAAATTCCTCATGCTGTGAGGAGACAAGGCTCTGACATTCAGTTGTTGATTATTCGCCTGCAACCTGAATGAGTGACGAACTCAAGGTCAAAAGTGAAGGCCTTGCCGGTGTCTTTGGCTGAAAAACTGCCAAGGAACTATGGGGTCCACAGATCCATGATTTTGCTTCTTTCTTGGTGCACTGAGTGGCAACATTGGCACCAGAACAACTTGCAGAATCAGATGACTATGACATACTATGACTATCTATGACTATCAAAAATACATAGTTTCCAAGGGGGTTCAGGACGCGCGTGCTTCAAGTAGGTCGTTCTCGAGGCTGGGGACAAGAGCAAATGCTTGACAATACTGTTTTTCTTAACCTTTGGCTTCGGATTTCAGGACAACGTAGATTGGCGTAGATCCTCACAGATTTAGTAAGGGAGCGTTGGAAACACGGAGTTGCAGCAGCCGATGTCTTGGCAACGATAGGGAAGTCTGGGAAGTCTGAGTGTTTTCGAGGCATGGCGCCGCAAGCTTCAAGGCCAGCAAAGACGTGAGCTGCTAGTGACACTTTTCAGAGGCATGTGACGGCATGTGTGTCAATGCGTGTTGTCTTCAAATTTCGGTCTCATGTTGGTCCTGTGTCTGTGGTTTTCTTCTCTGAATTGCCAAAACAGTTTTTCTCAGGTTCAAATCACATGCCTCCTGGACAAGTTTCTTGCCTCTTCCCGCTCGAGGCCAGTCATGCTCAGGATTCAAGCAGTGATGACCAAACTTAGATGAACAAAAAACGAAAAAAATGAAAAAACACAAATTGGACAAATTGAATGACGGACGGTTGACTGCTCCTGACAAATAAAAACGCGACCTGGGTCAGCAGAAATAGTATAGCCAGTAAAATTGAGCAGTGATAGGAGCAGCCGTAGAAACAGCATCCACCACACCACCACCAACAAAACGACAATAACAGTAGCACAGCAATAACATGTAATAACAGTGATAATCGTAACAACAGCCACGGCAGAGCAGCAGCAACAATAACAGCAGTAGTAGCAGCAAGAGCAACAAAAGAACACAAACAAGAAAAACACAAGAACAACAATAAGAGCAGCTACAGCCAAAACGACGATGACAGACAAAATGACGTGGACATCACCAAGACTGAACCACCTCTGTCATCACGAATCATCAACAACAAAGACAATGACCAGCAAACATCTATTGAACCTGACTTGTCCGAATTCGAACTGGCCCGAGATGGGAGGGTGATGCATCGTAATGACGTTGGCCCCATGCACATTTTTGGTACCTGTTGGTTCAGGAGCAGAGAATTTTCACGAAATGTTGAGGTATCTCAGTATCTTGACTCCATAAAAACACAAGCGACGAGCGTACATAGTCGCCACTGGCCCAGACTAACATTTGCAACAAAAGATGCCAGCTACTGGTACACATCCCAATTCCTGTTGCCAAAGCGTCATCGACCACGCCTTCGGACTATCAAAATGCTTTCTGCTTTCATATCCCCGATGCACCTTCGCTTTTGGCTGCAAATCTTGCTTCAGCCTGTTCACCTGTTCATGCCTTTTCCTCTTTCTCACATAAACCTGAACTATCCTGAACTATCCTGAAGCACTGGTACTGTAGTGGCCGCGTGGAAAGGGATGCAACATGTATCCGCCTAAATCTGGCCGGGCCCTGTGACTTGTGAAAGTCGGAACTCGTCGGAACTCGTCGGAACTTCAAACGTTTGGTGTCCTCTTCTTTGAGCTCAAACCAGTTTTCAAACTATCTCAAACTCATTTTACTCAGTTCCTCATCAGTATTCCTGCACTGCAAACAATTGCAAGGATTCAGGATGTTTCTTTCAACAGCCTCTTGGTGGCCTCCGCATTAAATCAAAAACATTGTATATATATAAACAGTATGAACCAGAGCAACAGCTCCAAAAAGCACCACAGGCACACACTAAAGAAAACAATATAAACGCTAATACTGAAAGGGCGACTTCGTTTTTGTTTAAGGGTGGTTTTAACTTCCTCCCTCCAACCCTTCTCCAGCATTTTCGCAAATCGTACTCCAAGTGCAGCTCCTACCAGCAAGATATTCTACCTTATGGATTCGTTGGAAAACTCGTTTGGATTCTTTGCTGCACCTTACAATACATCGAAAACTTTTCGGCCGTCATTTTTGGGCGCATCAATCGGATATGATATAGCTGTTTTGATTTCAGTTTGTGCTCAGAAATTTGTTCCTCCTGACTCTTGCGGGTTTAATGTGAGTCCCACCTTGGGGTTCGAAACATCTTGCCTTCACAATGTGAATTGATTTCATCCTGCAGAGCGAGCAGAACAAGTTGCGCCAAAAGCACCTTCAGTGCGGACCGAGCGAGGGCCTCAAAACCGCGTGCAGCGAAGCGACTGAACCATTTAGTATAATGAGCAGCATGTTTGAGTGACAATCATGTGGACCAGTCTCTAGGCTCGAGCACAGTAGCTCAGTCATTCTCCCTAGCCTTCGAAGAAGACTCCGAGCCAATTTCTGAAAAGAAAGCTCAAAAGCCCGAGACGTGCATAATCTTTGACTGGGAATATCGTCCCTAGCCTTCGAAGAAGACTCCGAGCCAATTTCTGAAAAGAAAGCTCAAAAGCCCGAGACGTGCATAATCTTTGACTGGGAATATTGTATCTACGTGGTCTGGCGCGTTCCACTGGCTGATAACCCTTTGCAGTTCAGAGGCTTGCATTGGGGTTTGGGCATCAGGGCTTACGCTGGAATTCTACGACTGAATCAAGGCACCTTTGGTGGGATTAGGTGGCGGCGTTGCAATTCCCTAGAGCTTGCTGAAAGGCTCTTTCGGGAAGAACTTCCTCTCCCGGACCGAGAGATTGGCACAGAGTATTACGAATGGGTCCGAATGTAGGTGACACTGCCTACATAAATTTTGCTGAAACTTTTGAAGAGCCAAGATGCAGAGAGGTTCTAGTCGTAGGGATCGAAAACAGCTGGATTCGAGTTTTGGTGAGGGCCAAAAGGCTATCAGAGATAGCCAATCACTTTTCGCATTTCGAGGTAGACGGCAAAGTCTTTTTTGTAGCCGAAGTCGAACTTCATCAACTGAAAGCCTTTGGTGTTTCAACTGTTCTGAGTCTGGCAACAGGGTCAGAGATGTTGATTTCGAAAGCAAAGGAGTTGGAGGAGAGCGGTTCAGAACTGATTTATGCCACAGCCTCAGATCGAGAGGTGAGGCCTCCCAAAAAGGCCAAGTTTGGTCGCAAGTCCGAAGTCCTGGAATCGTCAGAATCAAACAACAGCAGCAGTGGTTCGGAGGATCTAGGGATTCTTTCGAAAGCAGCAAAGTCATGGCACGTTGGGGATATCAAACGAGAAAAGCAAGAATCAGCGCCAAGCAAATCAAAGAGTCGTTTTGCCCTTCTGGAAAACAGCAAAAAGAGAGAAGTCAAGTCCGAAGTGGAACAATTGACCAATCCTGCACTTCTGCTCAAACAGTTGAAAGGGGGTCAAGATCCACTCCAAACTCTCCTCGCGCTCCAGCTTGCAGAAACGCTGGGAAAGAAGTCCAAGAAGAGCAAGAAACGAAAAAGCAGCAGTTCTTCTCGAGATGCAGAAAGTTTGGACGACAGTGCGTCCAGCAGTGGGTCGTCAAGTCACCGCAAGCGAGGACATGCTCGCGCCATAGAATCTTACCAAGGTTCTCGGAAGCGGATGTTCCGCAAGCCTCTTCGCTATGTGAAGCTCTATGTGAAGGAGGTGGAGAAAGAGTTGGGGGCGGAAGACCGTCCTTACAAGCTGTCCGAATATGGCCGGAAAGTGCAGTGGGGGAAACAGCGCTCACTGCTGCGATGCCATTTCATGCTCAGCGAGATTCTCACCCGGCTTCTGAAGGGGCAAGTGGAAAAAGCTGCGTTGCAAACAGTGCTCTGTCTGAGAAGCATCCATCAAGCCGCCATCGATGGAACGTGGGACATAGCCTGGCTTTTGACTCATCTGCCGGATCCATGGACAAAACCTCAGTGGGGAGGCAGTGCCGAGGAATTGGGGTATGTGACAAGCTACCTCAAATCAATGGCAGAGCTGAACAAAAATGCCGAGAAAGCCCGCTTCTCCGCTCAGGGAAGTGCAGATCGAGGAGAGGGCGAAGCCGCTGTCCCTCCCAAAAAGGGAAAGGGAAAGGGCAAAAGCCGCGACAAGGAGAAGGACAAGCCGAAGGAGGAGGCAGGCCACGACTGAGTGTGGCCACTGATGAGCCTAAGACAGCGCCTGCGAAGCCAGTCGCCTTTAATTCAGTTCTGAGGGCACTTGAGAGCAATCATGGTTCCTTTAGTCGTTTTCTCAGATGTTTGCAAGTTAGATCCAATGAAGGGTCGGGGCCTAGGACACCTTCATGCAACAACACGAAGGTAGGTGAACTTTTTCCGTCCTTGCTAGTAGTGCCTCCCATGTGCATTGCTCAGAGTTCTCGTAGGAACTGTCGAGGACGAGGCCGGGTAGCTACTTGGTCCTATGTTGAAGTGTTATGGAACCTCTTCAATTTTTTGGAAGGGGGATGCCCTTTTAGTGAAACAGACCAAGTACGGTTGGCCGACAGAGCCTCGTCGGCCTCCTGGACTCAGATGCATGCTGAGTACGCCGGCTTTTTGCATGACCAAGTTCACCAGTTTCTCCGCCTTAGAAAGCCAGAGCCTCTAGGACGCGGAATGGCACAACTCAATGAATTAGTGATGTCAATTAAGAATTCACAATATAAACCTGGACCTTACACAGTAGACGAGCTGATGACGGTAGCTAAGCATGTTGAGCCCGAAAGGATGTCTCTCCCTGAAATCGGAGGCATTCTAGACCCTGTAGATCACTTGAAGGGTCATAAGAAAGAGTTGTTCGAAAACATGGTAGAACATGTCCCACATAGTGACATTCCTGAAAAGAAAGTAAAAGGTTGTTTCAAAATCAAACCCGAACACATAGTGCCGGTGTATGAAAAACTCCTAGATTCGCAGGTAGCCGTTCTCTTGCCTGTGTCCATGGCCCTCAGAGACGAAACTGGCAAAATCGTTTCTGGGGGCCTTTTCGCAGTTCCTCATAAGGAACACACTGACCGAGTGATTTGTGACAGGCGTCCGCAGAACCAGTTAGAGAGACGACTTGTCTGGGCAAAACTTCCACATGGTGCACTACTCACACAAATAATAGTTCCCCCTGGCCACACCATTCGTGGTTCGGGTGATGACTTATCAAATTACTTCTATCTCTTGAAGCACAGAGAAAGCTGGTTGCACCGCAATGCCATAGGTAGCCCCGTTTCTGGTAAAGACTTCTTGAAGTATGGATGTGATCCCAAAACCAAATATGTGTTGTGCTTTCGTGTTATTCCAATGGGTGACACTAACGCTGTGGACATTGCTCAGGAAACTCATCTCCAGGTCCTCCAGGACGCAGGGTGCATGCAGAGCTCAGAGGTCATTGCGTATCGAGACTTGCTTCCAGCCAGCCACTGCTGGGAAGGACTTTATATCGATGACCACATCGTGATGCAAGTACTCCCCAAAAAGAAGTTACGTAACCCCAAACAAACATTCCGAGATGATGAGATCCTTAAAGCAAGTAGGCAGCAGTATGAACACTTAGGCATTCCCACTTCAGATAAGAAAGCTTTCACCCATCAACCTAGTTTTACGGCTTGGGGTACCCATGTTGAAGGATCCACTGGTAGGGTAGGCACCCCTCGTGAGAAGCTTGTCCAGTTGTCTGAGTTGATAGTCCAAGTCTGTTCACTAAAAAAGGTCAGTAAGAAATTGCTGCAGAAAACCCTAGGGTTGTTGGTTCACCCATCCATGCACCAAAGACTGCTGATGTCCTTGCTGCAAGAAGTGTACCTCTGGGTTGAAAAATTAGACGACTCAGAAGCCCGTCGTCTGCCTGCAGCAGCAAGAGAGGAGCTGCTCATGTTTGCGCTTTGTTTGCCCTTATGTCACTCTAATATCAAATGGCAAGTCAGCCCTAGGGTAGGTGCCAGTGATGCATGTCTAGATGGTGGGGGTAGAGCTGCCACTTTGACCGACCAGAGCATTGCTGAAACGTTGTATAGATATTCGGAACATAAGGGTGAACACGTTCGACTTGACTGGGAGAAAGGGCGTTTGGCCCCTCCCTCCGACATGGTAAGTGCTCCACAGGAGTTAGAGGACCTCATGGCTGCCCATGTTTGGAACACCACTCAGCAGATAAAATTCGGGCACAAACAGCACATCAACATACTTGAACTTAAGATGATCAAAGAGGAATTGAAAGACTTAGTGAAGCAGACAACCGCTCCCATGCGTGCTGTAAACCTAGTCGATTCACGTGTAGCAGCAGGAGCATTTGCCCGGGGTCGCTCGTCATCAAAACAGCTGAACCGCATTTTGCGGTCTATGATAGGTTGGAGTTTGTGTGGTCGTAAAAGTCTGCACCTGGTTTGGGTTAGGTCAGAAAGAAATCCCTCGGACCATCCTTCCCGAGCTTGCAGAATACCAGAACCAAAAAATGATGAAACAATACGTAGGATTTTTGGGGCACCCAGGCCCGAGTTGCAGACTCGCAAGTCCAACCGAAAGATTTTGAAGCAGGCTGTCAATTTCGTAAGCCGTGACGGAGCTCCGTCGTCCGAGAGCAAAAAGGCAGGACCGAATCACCCTGCGATGAGCCAGTGGACATTCAGAGAGATATTTGCAGGTTGTGGTAGGCTCAGTAAGACATTCTTGCATGCTGATTGTTTCAACGTTGGTTCACCCCTAGAACTTATCCAAAAAGGGAGAGAATCTCCTGAGCATGACTTGCTTAATGACGACACGTTCCATAAGTTGTGTGCCGATGCTGCCAAGCCAAGACAGATTTGGCATTTTGGGTTACCATGTAATAGTTTCAGTTTGATGCAAAACATGAATCATGGGACTAGAACCAGTGACCACCCTGAAGGAGCTGGGACACTTGCACGTGAAATCAGGGGTAATGAACTTGCTCGACGCACCTTCTTGTTGTGTACCATATTGCATGCCAGTGGCAATTTCTTCACCATAGAAAATCCAAAGACATCTTATGTTTGGAAGTTGGATGCTCTGTGTGAACTAGTTCGCAAAACCTCTGCAGTTAGAGTCAGCTTCGATCAGTGCGAATATGGGTTAAAGATTCCCCTGAACGATACTTGCATCGGACTCGCTAAAAAACCCACAACTATAGTCGGAACTTTGCCAGGGCTGTTGTGCCTGCAACGCAGCTGCTCAGGCCATCATGATCATGTTCATGTTATAGGTGGTGTAAAGACAGCACAAGGATGGAAGAAGAGATCCACTTTAGCCGGATATCCCCCTAGGCTATGTCAAACATACCACAAGTGCTGCATTCGCATGTTTGCATGAGGTCCAGTTCAGTTCAGTTTTTTAAGCATGAATTAGACTGCCGTAGTTTTTTGTTTGCACATCACTTCTGCATGTTGGCAAGTAATGCCTGCCAGTAAAGTGGCTGGTATCAGATTGCGGTTGGCGCGCTTCAGCGCTCCCTATCGACAGAGACTGACTGAGAGTGGAGCATCGTTTTGTGGCTTTTTGCGTGAACATCAGATCAGCACAAAGACACTGGAGAAAGGCTCAGCTCAGCTGCTGGATCAACTGTTAGACGAGTTTGTGAATCATCTCCATCAGCACAGATCCAGACGAAAGGGAATCCTTCGTGTAGCCAAGCATGCCATACTTTTTGTCCAAACAGTCAGACCCGATGTTCGAGGTCTGTTGAAAACATGTTGGACCACTGTTAAAGCCTGGCAAGAGCAAGAACCTAGCCAACTTAGAGCGCCAATGCCATTAGTGTTGATGATGGCCATGCTTTGCAAAGCAAGGCTTATCGGCTTGAACGCTGGACCTGGTGCCAATCAGCAAAAGTTACTCGTTTTCAGTGCTTTGACCGGGCTTGCCTTTTTTGGTTTGCTTAGACCTGGTGAGTTGTTGAACTTGACCCGCGAAGATGTCGAGATCCCTAACCAGCTGTCACTCGGCTTGCCTTGTGTGACGGTCAGAATCCGAAAGCCAAAGAATTTCCGTCAGCTTGGGCATGCTCAGTTTGCCGTAGTCAAACAACCTGATATATGTAACTGGATAACTTGGGTGTATGAACATGCTAAGCCAGGTCAACCCCTTTGGCCTCATGGTGCAAGTGCTTTTCGTGCTCTCTTTAAACAGGTCTGCACTAAGTTGTTGAAGCAATCCCATTCCTTTAGTCCAGCTTCACTGCGAGCCGGTGGTGCAACCTTCATGTTTGACCAATGCATGGATGTGGGGCATTTGAGACTCGCAGGTCGGTGGGCTAGTCCGCAGTCACTTGAGCATTACATTCAACAAGCAAAAGCACAGCAGCTTGTGTTACAGATCCCATTAAAGGTTAGTGAGCGCATTCGCACTTTGATCAGCAAAGGATATTTCCTGCTAGCTTTGCCAGACAAACTGGCTGAACCCTTGAATTTTGAATCACTTTTATCCCATGGACTTGGCTGCTTCCTCCGCGCAGAACCCCTCTGGAAAGTCTGCAGGAGGTGGGGAAGCCTTGCGGAAGAAGTTTAGAAAGATCTCCATTGTCGGTGGAACTTTGAAAGGAGCACACTACGGTGACGTCTCGGAAACCGATCTGAGAAAAGCTGCTAAATCCTACAGAGGGGATCCCAGATTTGCCCAGTTTTGTAAACAGTGGGTGGCTGCCGAAACAGTGGCTCCGGATGACGAGCCCTCCTGCCTTGGACACCAGAGTGCCAATTCAGTCCCTACAACCTCTGTCAGCTTGACTTGGAAAGCTTGGGGCTACCAATTCGTCTGCAATTTTGGACGATGGACGTATGGTAAGTGCAAAGGATGTTGGATTTCGGCTTTTTTCGCCTTCAGTTTCTTCATGCTGGTGATTTCCCGACCAGCGTTTAGTCGGTTATGTGGTCGACTTTTGGGCATCACCATTAGGTTAGCTTTTCGAAGAGGTCTCTATCTGCTCACTGTTTTGGTAGACTCTATTTTAGATGAAGCCGCATACCAGATGGAAACAACACTTCTTCCAGTGCCGGAGCAGATTCCTGGGACTTTGTTCCCCAACCCTCAACAACACCAAGTTGCCGAACTCTCATACTCATCATGGTTTTGGCATTTCTTTTGTGTGGCCTTTGGCGCAGTTCTCGGGAGATATGGGCGAGGGGCTCAACCTTTTGTCCGCATTCACCCTTGACTGGAACAAGTTTGCGCTGGAAAGTTTGGTGGTTTTGGGGGTCTCTTGGTGCATCAGCACCATCGAAAATCAGCTGATTTTTGCAATCTCGATACCTGGCAGTTCGATCAGTTCGCATTGCTTGCTAGCCTTGGATTTGACAAGGCCACTTCACACTCATTTCAGGCGTGCCCCAGAGAAAAAGAGGGCGCGGTGAGCAGGCCACAGAGTGCAATCAACACACATATATATATATATATACATACAGTATTATATATTAATATGATATTTTATAATTGCATATAATGACTACAATTGACAATTGCTGTGCCAATTACTGCATACTCTAGTGACTCTAGTGATTAGAAGAGCTGTTGAAACTTGCTGAATTTGCCGTGTTTGGTTGAGGCACACATTTGGGTATCCGGCCGAGAACATTCATTCTGACTTGCAGGTGATGCCCTTGGGTGCTTGCCAGTCTTCGATTCAGCTGGCACAGAATAACTTTTCTGGCTTCCCAGGTTGCACAAAGTTCAGCAGATGCTCAAAAGCCAGTCCAGAGACAAGCAGGCAGAATTTCAGTCATGGATATATAGTTCTTTCAGGATTTTACAGCATGCTCCTTGCAAGCCTGCAAGCACTGCTAGTCTCATACTTGCAATTCCCGTCGTTTCTGTCTCCAGGTCCAAAATATCGCGTGCCTCCGGGCGGCAGCCGACCTGCACGGACAGAATCAAAGGCATACACTGAGTGGTACACTATGTGTGGGGTACGCTATTTGTCAGAAATATACAGCGCTAGACAGGGTCCAGCGACGCGGGGTGTGGCTCTCTAATGCTGCAAATAACGTACGCATGGGCCACAAATGTTGCAAATGGGATACGACGCGTCATGCCAAAATGACCGTCGACATGCCAAAGGGGTTGTTCCCGTCGACATGCCAAGCAAGTTTGTGTCCCCGTCAACGTGCCAAAATGATGGTGTCCGTCAACATGCCAAGAATTTGTGCCCGTCGACATGCCAAAACAACGTCCTATAGCGTCACAGTCCTAAAACCTGGAAACTTCCGCCACCTGCCTCGCGCGGGTTCTACTTGTATTTTTTCACAAAGCTTATACGTTGCATTCTTGCTCCACATCGCCTCTCTGAAATTCTATCGGCATTATTTCTGACAATATATCTAGCATTCTACCGGGCAATGTCTCGCTTGTGACTCCAAATTCTGCTCGCTGGTGACTCCGAAGTCATCTCGCCAGTGACTCCAAAATCATCATCATCATCATCATCACCATCATCGCCATCATCATCATGATCATCATCATCACCATCATCATCATCATCACTTTCATCATCATCATCATCATCATCATCATCACTTTCATCATCATCATCATCGTCATCATCATCATCATCATTCTCGTCATCGTCATAACCATCCTTCTCATCATCATCATCCTTATCGTCACCATCATGATGATGACGATGATGATGATGATCATCATCATCATCACTTTCACCGTCATCATCATTATCATCATATATCATCATAATAATAATCATCATCATCACCATCATCATCATTACCATCATAATCACCATCATCATCATCACCATCATCATCATCATCATCTTCGTCATTATCATTACCATCGTCATCATCCTCATCACCATCATCATCATCATCATCATCAGAGCCAGAGCCAGACAGAGCCAGAAGAAGATCTGATAGCGTGGCATCATGTCGGTTTGCAATTGCAAGAGAAGATCTCATAGCGTAGCATATGGTGACCCCGTCGACATACCAAAATGACGCCCTGCGATGCCAAAAAGTAGCTTGGCAAGGGAGATAGCAAAGTGTAAAATAGTGAATGTGCCCGTCGACATGCCAAAGTGACCCCGTCAACATGCCAAGATGACGCCTGTGCCCGTCGTCATGCCAAAACGACGTAACTGTGCCCGCCGACATGCCAAAATGACGCAACTGTGCCCGCCGACATGCCAAAAACGACGTAAGTGTGCCCGTCGACATACCAAAACGATGTGCGGCGATGGCATTTTTTTCTCATTGCGGGAATGTTTTTTACTGGGGGGTGATTTTTTTGACATGTCGACGCGTGGTATCGGGTTGCAAATGGGGACCCGACTCATATATATATAATATATAATATAATATATATATATATTTATGTGGATATTATTGTAGGGCTTTGCACACTGGTGATGCCATAAGGGTAATGTAAAATCGTTTCAGCGTTGGTGTTGTTCATGTGCTCGGCGCATGCGTGCAGGTGCAAAGCACAGTATGATTTGCTTTTCATACCGCAGCTTGTAACACATCTTTTTGTCACATTTTTGTGCTGCTTGTGCTTCTGCTTCTTGTGCTTGTTGTGCTTGTTGTGCTTCTTGTTGTTGTTGTTGTGGTTGTTGGTTGTTGGTTGTTGGTTGTCGGTTGTCGGTTGTCGGTTGTCGGTTGTCGGTTGTCGGTTGTCGGTTGTCGGTTGTCGGTTGTCGGTTGTTGTTTGATGTTTGATGTTTGTTGTTGTTTGTTTGTTTGTTTGTTTGGTTGGTTGGTTGGTTGGTTGTTTGGTTGTTGTTGTTGTTGTTGTTGTTGTTGTTGTTGTTGTTGTTGTTCTTGTTGTTGTTGTTGTTGCTGTTGTTGTTCTTCTTGTTCTTGTTCTTGTTGTACTTGCAACACATCTTATTGTCGCATTTTTGTGGGCCAAGAATCGTCACATAGGTGGTGTTTTCGCATTTCTTTGACACTCTCCGAGCAAAAAACACCGTAAATACCGTTTTTTTTTGCCTCGGAAGCCCAAAGCCAAGATATTTACGATGTTTTTTTTTGCATCTTGTAGCAAAAATCACGGTATTTACAGTGTTTTTGTGCCCGTGCCTGGCAAAAACACTGTCATTTACGCAGTTCTCACCTTGTTGCAAGACGTAGTTTCTATACGCGAATAAATCAGAAACACTGTATTTTACGATGTTTCTGCTTCCTGAGCGCAGCAAAAAATTGTCAAAAAAGGATTCAAAAACGGCCCAAAATCGATTTCCAAAAGCATCTTATAATTTTAGCATCTTTTTTCCGGACCCCGGACCCCCAAAAACGTGAAAACACCACCAGAGTGAATTATTTTGGGGGGTCGGCAGAAAGGGCGCGCCCCGGGTAGCTAAAGCTATGGCATATTGGTACACACACACACACACATGGCGAGGCATCGCCGGATTTAAAGGCTTACGCCTGACAGCCGGGCGCCGGCCAAGCAATCTTGGCCATGTTGGCCCTATGTTGGGCCTATGTTGGCCTATGTTGGGCCTATGTTGGCCCATGTTGAGCCATCTTGGGATCTATGTTGGGGCCATGTTTGGGCCATCTATGTTGAAACGATCTTAAGATGCCAATTCTTCCGCCCCGGGCCCCCTCCTGGAGCCCGCCACGTAAAAACCGAGGTTTTGTAACATCGCCAAGATTAATTTTCTTGCCGCCGAAGGGCCCGAAACACCGCAATTAAAGGACCGGATAACCCCACAAGGCAACTTCTTCCAATAATGAGCACCAAATGTTGTGGCGGGGACGGGGAAGGAAGGAAAGACAAAGGAGGTGGTGGAGGATCGAGAAGTAAAACAAAGTTGTGTGTGACAAAGTTGTATGTGAAAAATGGAGTGTGACAAAGAAACATGGTGTGCGTGTGTTGAAAGAGAGCGTGTTGCAAAGTTGTGCGTGAAAGATAGTGTGTGTGACAAAGTGGTGTGTGAAAGATGGTGTGGCGAAAGATGGTGTGTGACAAAGTTGTGTGTGAAAGATGGTGAAAGATGGTGTGCGACAAAGTTGTGTGTGAAAGAGGGTGTGGTGAAAGATGGTGTGTGACAAAGTGGTGTGTGAAGGATGGTGTGGTGAAAGATGGTGTGAGACAAAGTGGTGTGTGACAAAGAGGGTGTGTGAAAGATGGTTTGTGACAGTGTGTGAAAGATGGTGTGTGACAAAGTGGTGTGAAAGATGGTGTGTCAAAGATGGTGTGTGAAAGATGGCGCGTGACAAAATGGTGTGTGAAAGATGGTGTGTGACAAAGTGGTGTAAAAGATGGTGTGTCAAAGATGGTGTGTGACAAAGTGGTGTGTGAAAGATGGCGTGTGACAAAGATGGTGTGTGACAAAGTTGAGGGTCAAAGATGGTGTGTGACAAAGTTGTGTGTGAAAGATGGTGTGTCAACGATGGTGGGTGACAAAGTGGTGTGCGAAAGATGGTGTGTGACAAAGTTGTGTGAAAGATGGTGTGTGACAAAGATGGTGTGTGAAAGAAGGTGTTTCAAAGATGGTGTGTGACAAAGATGGTGTGTGAAAGATGGTCTGTGACGGTGTGTGAAAGATTGTGTGTGACAAAGTTGTGTGTGAAACATGGTGTGTCAAAGATGGTGGGTGACAATGTGGTGTGTGAAAGATGGTGTGTCAAAGATGGTGTGTGACAAAGTTGGGTGTGAAAGAGGGTGTGTGAAAGATAGTGTGTGAAAGATGTTGTGTGACAAAGATGGTGTGCGAAAGAGTCTTGAAAGAGGGTGTGTCAAAGATGGTGTGTGAAAGATGGTGTGTGACAAAGTGGTGTGTGAAAGATGGTGTGTGACAAAGATGGCGTGTGACACCAGAGCCAGCCCAATGCCATAAGTGACACGCGTGCCACGCAAAACGAAGGTGGATGTGGCCAAGTGCCACGCCTGCCCCGCGAAACGAAGGTGGATGTAAACCAAGTCGCCTGCCACAAAGTGGAGGTCCATGTCGCCAAGTGCCACGCCTGCCACGGAAAGTGAAGGTGGATGTCACCAAGTGACACGCCTGCCACGCGAAGTGAAGGTGGATGTCAGTGCCATAAGTGCCACGCCTGCCACGCAAAGTGACGGTCGAGGTCACCAAGTGCCACGCCTGCCACGCAAAGTGAAGGTGGATGTCACCAAGTGCCACGCCTGCCACGCAAAGTGAAGGTGGATGTCACTAAGTGCCACGCCCGCCACACGAAGTGAAAGTGGATGACACCAAGTGCCACGCCTGCCACGCAAAGTGAAGGTGGATGTCACCAAGCGCCAGGCCTGCCACGCAAAGCCACGGTCGATGTCACCAAGTGCCGCGCCTGCCATGCCAACAGCTGCGGCGATAACGGTGCCAAACGGAGACCCAAGCGCGCCACAAGAGCTAGTCCAGTGCCATAAGTGCCACGCTTGCCACGCTAAGTGAAGGTGGATGTCACCAAGTGCCACGCCTGCCACGCAAAGTGAAGGTGGATGTCACCAAGTGCCACGCCTGCCATGCCAACAGCCCCGGCCACCGGGGCGCCCAACGGAGACCCAAGCGCGCCACCAGAGCTAGTCCAGTGCCATAAGTGCCACGCCTCCCACGCAAAGTGAAGGTGGATGTCACCAAGTGCCACGCCTGCCACGCAAAGTGAAGGTGGATGTCACCAAGCGCCAGGCCTGCCACGCAAAGCCACGGTCAATGTCACCAAGTGCCGCACCTGCCATGCCAACAGCTGCGGCGATAACGGTGCCAAACGGAGACCCAAGCGCGCCACCAGAGCTAGTCCACACGCCTGCCACGCAAAGTGAAGGTGGATGTCACCAAGTGCCACGCCTGCCATGCCAACAGCCGCGGCCACAACGGCGCCAAACGGAGACCCAAGCGCGCCACCAGAGCCAGTCCAGTGCCATAAGTGCCACGCCTGCCACGGAAAGTGAAGGTCGATGTCACCAAGTGCCACGTCTGCCACCAACAGCCGCGGCGACAACCGCGCCAAACAGAGACCCAAGCGCGCCACCAGAGCCACTTCAGTGCCATAAGTGCCACGTTGTCACGCAAAGTGACGGTCGATGTCACCAAGTGCCACGCCTGCCACCCTGTGTGTGGACAAGTTGTATGTGGGCAAGTTGGGTGGTGGACAAGTTGTGTGTGAGTACAAGTGTGTGGACAAGTTGTATGTGAGTAAGTTGTGTGTGGACACGTTGTGTGTGGACAAGTTGTGTGTGAGCAAGTTGTGTGTGAGCAAGTTGTGTGTGAGTAAGTTGCGTGTGAGCAAGTTATGTGTGGACAAGTTGTGTGTGGACCAGTTGTGTGTGAGCAAGTTGTGTGTGACCAAGTTGTGTGTGAACAAGTTGTGTGAGGACAAGTTGTGTGTGAGCAAGTTGTGTGTGGTCCAGTTGTGTGTGAGCAAGTTATGTGTGGACAAGTTGCGTGGTGACAAGTTGTGTGTGGACAAGTTGCGCGGTGACAAGTTGTGTGTGATCAAGTTGTGTGTGGACAAGTTGTGTGGACACAGGTTGTGTGTGAGTAAGTAAGTTGTGTGTGAACAAGTTGTGTGGTGACAAGTTGTGTGTGAGGAGGAGGCGGCGGGCAGCGGGCGGGAGCGGGAGCGGGGCCAGGCGGAAGTGCACAACCAAAAACAAGAACCCCACACAAAGATGTGGGGAAAAAAAGATGTTTTTGAACACCGCGAGCACAAAACACCGTAAATTACGTAGGCTTCAGTCGACCGGGAGTGGGTCGGCGGCAGGGGCGGCAGCGCCTATTCCGGCCAGGGGGCCCGCCCCCTGGCCGTGTCCTTGCCGTACGGCAGTTCTCTCCTCTCCGTAGGAGAGAGGGGCCGACGCCCCCGACCCCTGGAGGTTCAGGCCAACTGATGCTCATGCAGGTTTTCAATTCCTCTTTGTCGCTTGCCTTTTTGTCCTTCCACCATGGCAACAAATCATCCAATATGTATCTAATAATCCAATATTTTTGGCAGCCACTTATGATAATGGCTCATGACGCATACGCACCATCTTCCGGAAAGAACGTTTTTCTGGGTGCATAGATCATGGGAATCATTGAATCATTGAATCATTGGGTCATTGGGTCTTCACACAGAGGATCAGGCTGTGGATATCAATCCTGCCAAATTCAGGCCTTTCCAAGGAGCGCCACATGCCACTGAAGGACGGACCTGGCCATGAGCCTACGGCTGCCTCTGCCTGACGTCGCTTTCTCAACCGACAAGAAACTAGCTCCAAACTGGAGCCTCACGCCTCCAAAACGTTGGCTTTGCCACACCGAAACATCATGCCACTGAAGGACGGGCTTATGCCAGCAACCCCCAAGCCTCCAAAACGCTGGCTTCGCCGCTTGCTTTTCCATGTCTTGCTGGCTCTTGCCTCTTGCCTCTTACTCTTTTCTGTGCTTTCTATCTTCTTGCTCCATCTTGTCCCCTCTTCTCTGACGCCCTCCCCCTGCTGTCGGCAGGGGTCGGCGGATATATGTATGTATATATATATATGTATTATATATATATACACTTACATATTGTGTGTGTGTGTATATATATATATATAAATACAGTATGTCTAAATGTATAATTTAAATATGTACACACATACATACACACACACATACATACATACATACATACATACATATATATATATACACACATAACACATGAAATTATATGCATATGCAAGGCAGTCTGTTTCACACATATCATGAATTTCATACATTCGTAGTCCCTTTCTTCGGTCATTTGAGTAGTTCTTCGACTTGATTTGGTTCAGGCCAAAATGGCCAAGGAGTTCGTCCTGGAATTCAGATCTGAACCGTGCTACAGCTTAGTTTTCTGTAAGTCGAAATGCCACATGAACCAGCTGCAGTAAGGCGTGTTGTGCCTGCTCGAAGAATTATCCAGGACAGGGCGCAAACATGCGCAAACTCTAATGTTTGGAAATGACCGTAGCATATTGCCAGCATGGCGGCAGCCTGTATTCCCGAATTCTCATTCCAAAGATTGGATGAACTGAGTAACTGTGGTTGCCTGGTTGCCCTTTCGGTTTATCTTGGCATACCAGTGACACATGGCATAGTCGTAGTCCACACAAGGGTCTCATGAACCTCCTGGGCTCAAGATGGGTTTCTCGTTCTCTGACTCCGTTGTTTGACCAAGCGGAAATGCGACTCTGATTGTTTCCCTCCAGCCACTCGTTTTTTGAACATTCCTGGAACAGACTTCCATAAATAATCTAGAATTCTCGAATCCACAAACACAGTCTTGATGCAGCCCCAAATATGCCACTTGCAATCCTGGATCTCCAAGCGCAATAGCAGTGCGCCGGCATTGTAGATGCCAACACAATAACATGAAAAATTGGAAAAACAATGCACCATCGAGAGGGACAAAGGAATCAAGGTGAAAAATAGGTGGAAATTATTGGAAACGAAGATGCAAGGCACATCTTGAGGCAGCTGTTCGAAGGCAGCTTGCAATTCCCTGAGCAAGATACGCAAGGGTTCCGGCAGGCTCTGCAGGCAAGCTGTCTAGAGCCTAGAGGCAAAAACACAATGGTTTGCAAAAAAACACATTCTCCGAGTGGAAAGCACAATGTTAATGTTTTGATACATTTTTGTGATATTGACCGGTAAGCACTCGCTTTTTCCCGGAAAGACTCTCCATCGCAAAGTTAATCAGAATATCAATGACCCAAAAGACGGGGGTCACCTGCCGAAATCGGTGCGTCCAGCATGATTGCGGGTATGCAATCATGAGCCCACTATTTGAGGATAGATTCACATTTGGTTCCTGATTCTTTGTGTGGAAATTGAAACTTTCTCATCCAACACGTCTTGAAAACGACTTGAAGGGTGTGAAGATGGAAGGGTTCGCAAACGCATGAATTCTATGTATTTTTGCTTTCAATTGAGCACGATTGTTCAGGGAACGCGTGAATCAAGTGGTAGTTTGCAGTTTCCCCGGCTTTCTTAAAACTGTATGATTTGTATATAAATGAAATCAGCTTTTTCTTTGAGATGGGTCTGCCCTCAGGACCATCGGTCACAACGCCGAGGCTTGGTGACAACAAATAAATCACACAATGATCTGATTCTGAATGTCCCTGTAGGCCAGAAATGCTCAGAAACCACTCCGTTCCACAGGCTCAAACTATTTTGGTATCCCTGCTCTTACTGTTGTGAAATCAGTGCCTCATATGTGCGTTCTCTGTCTGATGCGTGGGTGACCTTCAAATCATGAATCGAAAGGTTCCGTCAAGATGATGGTCGATGGGCTCTCGAACGGGAGGCAACCCAATGGTGCTTTTATTTTTCACATATTGCACGCTTCCACGTTCAGTTCAGCATCAAAGGATTTACTTGCCGGGTTTAGTTTTCTTTAAGCTGTTTGGGCGCAGGATACTTTCATGCCCGTTTTGAAAAATTTCCCATACGCATTCTGTGCACTTTCGATGCAGTTTGCATGCAGTTTCTTCAATGCAGATTTATACATTTGTCATGGAGATGTTATATATGCAGCTTATTTGCAGTGTATATGCAGGTTGATGTGGGAAAATACGATGGCCAAACATGTCCGGCCATCATATTTTCCCACATCACTTTGCACACCAAAACTCCCGCGAACAAACCACCAAAAAGTGAGGTTATTGAAACTACACTGCATGAATCTCTCAGCAAACTATCGTCAACACATTTGCATGTGCATATAACCGTGTTTATTTGATACTATTTGATCTCAGGTAAATTCTCTCAAGTAAATTGACAAGTACTTATATATATAATATATATATAATATAATATAATATATAATATAATATAATATATAATATAATATATAATATATATATAATATATAATATATATATATAATATATAATATATATAATATATATAATATATAATATATATATATAATATATAATATATATAATATATACAATATATATAATATATATAATATATACAATATATATAATATATATAATATATATAATATATATAATATATATAATATATATTATATATATAATTTATATAATATATATTATATATATAATATATATATATATATTATATAATATATATAATACATATAATATATATAATATATATTATATATATTATATATATTATATATTATATATATATATTATATTATATAAATTATATATATTATATATATTATATATTATATATATTATATATATATATTATATAGTATCGAAGGCCTTGAGCCCAAGTGGGGGGAGGGGGGCCCGCAGGCCCCCCCCCCCAGAACCCAGCGGGCAAAGGGGGGTCTCTTGTCTTGTGGGGATCCCCGGAGCGTGTGGCCCGCCGCTCCAGGGATCCCTTCCCTGCTCGGCCGCTAAGACGTAAACCCTCGCTACCACCCTCGCAATTTGACCCGGCGGAGTATCATGCGATACCCCACGGGGCCAAATCACTAGGGCAGCGGTAGCGAGGGTTTACTCCCCCCTAGTCTTGACAACCCCTCAAGTTTCAAGACTAAGGGTCCTATTCATACGATGCAATGCCTTTGTCCAGCAATATCCACATGAATCACCTGGGTCCAGCCTTCCCGGTCCTCGCTCGCTTCCTGCCACGGCCAAGCCGTGGCCGTGCGTCGAATCCGTCGCGCCAGCCGCGTCGATATGGAGGATGTGACGGCTGCTCTGCATGCATTATTAGCTGCAATTAATCTGCATTGGTCTGCATTGGTCTGCATCATTGATACATTTATTATTCTCGATGCAACTATTCGATCTGCCGCTATATTCGATATTTGCGCGCTATCTTCCGATATTCGGCGTTCTTCTCCGCGCCGCTGGGGCTTGCAAGAGTCGGCACTAGTCTGCACCAGTCAATTTGTTTTTCTTTGGTGGTACAGACCCCTTTTTTGAAGCCACTGGAGAGAAGGCCGCAGTTGGAATAAGAAATAACCAAAGTTCCACCTATATAGAGACAAAGGGGATGGGGGGTGTTAGAGAGAGCCCCTGTTGTTCTCCTCATCAGCTTTATAACAGTATAACATTTGCGGTCCTGGACACTTTCGGCCTGCCGGCTCAGGTATCGGAATATCGCGCGTCTCTGGTCTGCATTCATCCCCGCGCGTCAGGCGCCGCGCTCGGACACCTTGTGATGTCTGCTGTATATGCTGCAAAGAACCTTCCTTCAGTACGAACGCTCAATGCTCCGGTGTAAAGTCACTATCCATTTGTAGGCTTAATTCTGCCTGTTTTGTGACGCCGGGCCAGGCCCGTCGCCTTCGACGCCACTGCCTCGTTCCACACGCGTGATCTTTGCCTCGCGTCCAAGCCTCAAAGCTTCCATGTGTCGACTGCAGTGCATCAGCCATGTTGATACCGTCGCATGTTGAACCTTTGCATAGATGTGTGACCTGCCCGCAGCAATTTCCAAGCTTTAAAGCTTTCTGCCTTTCAGCGACTTTCAAGTGCCCTTGCTCCTTTGTCCGCGCCTCAGATCAAAGCTTCCACTTTTGTGCTCCGCTTATGTATTCTTTTCCTGTATATCTATCGCCGGTCCCCCAGGCAATGGCTTGCATTGGCGACGTGACCTTGTTCAAGGGCAGCTGGGCCGACGTTGCGTTGGAGGAGGCGCGTTTCGAATGGTGCACCGGCGTGTGCACCTGAATCGTCGTGTGCCTTGCTGCATGCCAGGTTCCAGTGCCGTTGGAGGCACGGCTGCTTGCTTTCGGGCTTGGAAAGTAGGGCGGCTGCCACATCCCGTCCTGACAGGACTACGTCCTCCAAAATGAGGCACTGCTGGACGAGCTCCAGGAGGCGGTGGAGGCCCCGCGGTTTTGGATGGTTTTGGGATAACATCCCGTCGCGTTAATCCGATTAGTTTGCTTGCCACCTGTCAGGTCCCTTTCGAGGCGACGCGCACCTCCTTCACCTTGGGCGGCTCGGCCACGAAGAAGGCAGGGTCGCTGATAGCGTCTTATCTTCAGAACAATTTAAACTGTCCTGGTCTTGGCCGTGCAGGCACCGCGCCGTCGCGGTGGTACCTTCGTGGCAATGGAGCCGGAGAAGAATAAGCGCGCCAGCGCTGCAGCCTCAGTCCGTCTGTGCCATCTGTTTATACATCATGCAGCACCCCGACACGCCGGTGCCAAGGGACTCTCGCGTGCAGAGAAGCGCTGGCGCAACAAGGTCAACAAGGAGCGCGCCAAGGCGGGGCTTGGGAATATTTAATTTGGGACTTGGCCCCGCGCTCGTGTCGCTGGAGTGTGTCAGGCGGCAAAGCACCGCCGCGCGGCACCTTGTAGCGCAGCACCTGCAGGAGGGGTCGCGACCTCAAAATGCCAATCATCAGAGCCAACTTGGCCTTGTGTTTCTATCAACGGCCAATCTTCCTTTTGCCTCAAGCACGCCGGCACCGGCAAGCCGCCGTCGGTCCCTGCCTTAGATTGTATACGGACTGACTGTCGTTTCTTCTCTTCTTCTTCTGCTTTGCATAAGCCATTTTAAGGCGAAGCCTGGAGCGGCGTCCGCTCCCACTGCTCCGCTTTTCGCCTTTTCCAACCTTGTCCCCAGCTCAGAGGTCGTGCGTATATATATATATTATATATATATATATCGATTTTACTATATATATATATCCTGTCTGCTTTGCACGACTTTGCCTCAGGACCGTGGACAGGAGCGTCGGTTCATGAACCGACGCGCCCGCCAAGGCGCGTGCTGTCTTTTTTCCTTGTCCCCGCACCTCGTCCATCATCCATGCCTTTGCAGCGTTCCGTTGCTTGTCGTCCAGGCCTTTCGGAAAAGGCGAACCGACCCCCCTCCCTTGGGGAGTGGACCTCGGAGGGGGAGGCGCGGGCCCCAGCGCGTTTTTGTGCGTGTCCTTTCTTCACAGGCTTCCGTCTCGCATGCACGTCCTGCCCAGTGCATTCGTCACCCAGGCTGCGTTCCGGTGGAGACCAAATTATCTCAGCAACAAGGCGCGGGGCCAAGTAATTACTAAGGGTGTCCAAATCAAGGCTGAACTTGAGGCAACCCTTGTGGGCCAAGGGTCCACTTTGAGATGGACCCTAGGGTCACTTTGGAGGTTTCAGGCTAGGTCCTAGGGTCACTTTGGAGGGTTCAGGCTAGGTCAGGGGAGCAAAGGCATCAAATTAAACCTTTAAGTTGAAAGATTAAAATGTTATGAACAACCAAACAAAACATATTCAAAGACAAAACATGCATTTTTCTTGACATGTTTTTTCATTTAACAACAACCATCTTGAAATGAGAAACAAACAAACTTGAACTGAAAAACAAAAATCAAAACACAATAATCAAAACAAAACAAACCATGTTCGAAAACAAAAACATGCTCTTGTCTGATTTTTTTGTTTAAAAACAACCATTTTCAAGTGATAAACCAACACACTTGAACTCAAAACACAATAGTCAAAACAAAAGAAACATGTCCGAAAACAAAAACGTGCTCTTGTCTGATATTTTTGCTGTTTAAAAACAAACATCTTGAAGTGAGAAACCAACAAACTTGAACTGAAAAACAAAAATCAAAACACAATAATCAAAACAAAACAAACCGTGTTCGAAAACAAAAACATGCTCTTGTCTGATTTTTTTGTTTAAAAACAACCATTGTCAAGTGAGAAACCAACAAACTTGAACTCAAAACACAATAATCAAAACAAAACAAACCATGTTCGAAAACAAAACCATGCTCTTGTCTGATATTTTTGCTGTTTAAAAACAACCATCTTGAAGTGAGAAACCAACAAGCTTGAACTGAAAAACAAAAATCAAAACACAATAATCAAAACAAAACAAACCATGTTCGAAAACAAAAACATGCTCTTATCTAATATGTTTTGTTTAAAAACAACCTTTTGCAGGTGAGAAACCAACAAACTTGAAACTCAAAACGCAATAATCAAAACAAAACAAACCATGTTCGAAAACAAAAACATGCTCTTGTCTGATATTTTTGTTGTTTAAAAACAACCATCTTGAAGGGAGAAACCAACAAACTTGAATTGAAAAACAAAATTCAAAACACAATAATCAAAACAAAACAAACCATGTTCGAAAACAAAAATATGCTCTTGTCTGATTTTTTTGTTTAAAAACAACCATTTTCAAGTGATAAACCAAAAAAATTGAACTCAAAACACAATAATCAAAACAAAACAAACCATGTTCGAAAACAAAAACATGCTCTTGTCTGATATTTTTGCTGTTTAAAAACAACCATCTTGAAGTGAGAAACCAACAAACTTGAACTGAAAAACAAAATTCAAAAAACACAATGATCAAAAAATAACAAACCATGTTCGAAAACAAAAACATGTTCTTTTTGATATTTTTTGTCTAAAAACAACCATATTGAAGCGAT